GAGTGTCTCCCATCCTCTGGAACTCCCTACCCCAATCTGTCTGCTTCTTTCCTACTCTGTCCACCTTTTGGCGATCCTTGAAAACTCATCTCTTAGGGAAGCCTAACCCATCTCGACAAAATAACTGTCCTTTTAATTCTTCCGTTAGTTCATCCCACACAATTATCACCGTTTGTATCACTTGCCCCTCCTACTAGACTGTAAGCTCAGGTGTGAACCAAGGCCATTGAAAACCATGGGATTTTTTGTGTTGAACAGTTAAAAGCGCTTTTCGAACTGCTCAAAAACGCTTAGGTGTGAACCAGGGCTAACTCTCCTGTGTTTAAATTGTATTGCAACTGTATTGTCTCATTCCATTTTGTAAACCACTGCAAAAACTGTTAGCGCTATATAAAGTCTGTAAAATAATAATATATAAAGCTTTGGATGATGATAACACTTTAGATTAACAAGCATGCTGAAATATCTTTGTTTCTCCCACTAGCCTATTTTTGTATAAACCTAAAAGGTTCTGCACAATAGGCCTCTAACATCAGAGTACCAGCAAACCTCTTGGGTTTCCCAAAAAATAAGAAAAAATAAAAACTGCTCATAATGACCAATCAGAATATTTGCTTCGTGTTCCATGAACATAAAGGATCACAGCTGATTAGTCACTATGTTCCCGTTCTTTTCTCAGTTGTTCTTGAAGTGGGGGTAAGGGAGGGTTCTTTTAGTTCTGTTCATGCCTAGTCTTCAGCAATGACAAACATTTTCCCTGTAGCAATTTTTAAGTGACCTTCTGCATGTACTTTCTCAGTCAAAAGTACAAAAATGTTTGCTTTCATTCAGTTTACAAAAGGAGTGTTGCTTTGCTGGCTCAAACTCTGAACTCTGAATAAATACAGAGAATGCACCATAGGAACATGCCCATATAACCCCTGCAGGAAGAAAGCACTAAACCTAGACGGTGTAGAAGAAAGACGGGGTACCCTGTACAAACATTGCTGATATCATGGTATAGTTCCATACAAACGGAATATGCATAATGTTTGCCACAGATTTTCTGCAGCAATCTGTCGCTTTGGACAACATCCGTTATTTCTTCTGCTAGACTTTCATTATTAACACATAAAACTTAGTGCCCAAAGGCAGTAACAGCTGCGTACATTATAGGAACAAATCTATCATTACAAACATGTTCCAGCATGCAGTATACTTCTTGTTAGTACTGAAGAACTATCTCATATGCTGTATGTCCCAGTAGTTAACTGCCCTCCCAAGGGCACCACTCTCATGCTGCTCGACATACTCAGGCAATACTCATTTTCATCATGTCTGATACTGCAGAGAAAACACAACAGATGCCTTTAAGGCCTGGTTCACATCTAGTTTGAAAAAATAATCAGGTAACTAATCGATTATGAAAGTAATCGTTAGCTGCAGCCCTAGAATACCTGCATAATTTTCAACAACTTTTAGATTGTAAGCCTTCACGGGCAGGGCCCTCCTTACCATCTTGTCTTGAATTGTATTATAATTGTAATGTCTTCCTTATATTGTAAAGCACTGAGCAAACTGTTGGCACTATATAAATCCTGTATAATCATAATATAGGGGATGGAGATTAGATAAATGTCTTTCTAGTCTGCCCCACACTCTAGCAAATACTTCTTGACCTGAAAATGACAAGGTCACAGAATGATTGATAAACTTCTCTTAACATTTTTCACTTGCCCACTACATCAACATCTCACACCATCATATGAATTAATCAGGTTATTTCTATATACATAATACCTCCAAAGAGGACTTTGGCTGGGAAAAGGGCCAAATCTAAGCAGTGTTGTGTAGTTACTCTGCTCAATGACAACAACGCAAAATAAAAATGGAAGCTCATTATAAAAAATAAATAAATACAGGCCCAACAGTGAGATGGTGAAAGCCACTAAGAAATGGCATCTGAATAGGAAGATATGGTTTCAGGGAGACTGCTACATATGAATAACTCCAACATACAGAGCAAACTCTGCTTCTACCTGCAATATATATTAACATCTCTGCAAGTAACCAGCAGATACAAAGAGGAGAGACACTGGAATACTTGATTCCTTTGAAATTACTTGTAAGTATATACAGCATGATATTGCTGGCAAGTGAAAAGCTTGCAGGCTGAACAAAACAATATCTATCATATTACCCCATCCCCAATCAACAGCATGGATAGGGGAATCCCCACGTTAGTCTATTGTATTCTATGCTGATTGGCCGCAGTGACCGTTCGGCCAAGAGTTTTCTGCTGGCTCCTTCAATTTTCAGAACAAAGGATGTCAGGAAGAAGGCTGTCAGCAGGGCCACCCACTGAGCAAATTTCAGCCGATTCATCAAGAACTGGCTGAAATTCACTTAATGTATGGACAGCTTTACAGATATGACCTGGGCGGGTTGGCTGGTCGCTTTGGACAACATCCGTTCAACTTTTTCAATAATCGATTATAATCGATTATGTGGATTAGTTGTTGCAGCCCTACAATACATACTACAAAGAATTGCAGAATGTGCATTTAAAATGCAAATTAATTCACTAACTTGAAGAGGCTTCTATGGAACATTTTCTAGAAATCTCTATCTTTTTCTAGCAAACATGTTAAAAGTAACACTAGCTAGGAAAAATACAGACAGCCAAAAGCCCATATTAAAAGGGTAAATTTACCTTTCTAATATTCATGAAACATGGCCAGATCACAAACACCCCCCGCCCCCCTCATCTAAATTGCTGGCTTCTTCTCCCCACAGGCTGGTGTTCATTTTTTAATTCAGCAAGGTGGTGCATAGCTCCACCCACACAGCCATGTCAGCTGTGTGGGTGGAGTCCCATCAGCCACTGGGGTAAAGTTTAAAATGGAATACAAGTGCAGTGACATCCCCGCTCTGGTATAGTCCATTCAGTCTTCCTCCCGTCGAGATTGCTGAATGTTCGGACTGAGGTACGGACATGGATGGGAGGAACAGTCTGCAGGAGCCAGAGTGTTGCACCAACGATCCACTGATCGCAGTTGCAATGCTTTCCTGGCTCCAATGCAAAAAATAATAAATGCACATTTTTTTCTTTTATGAAGAAGCATGCACTTATTTTTTTTTTTTTAAAGGCGGAATTCCCCCTAAAAGTGAAACAAAACCAAATATATGTGATGGCTGCATTTGTTTTCTTATTTCTGTATTTTCACCTGGTGATCCAGCCAGTAAGTCTGATATTTTTCAACTTCTTTTGACAGACCAAACTGTCTAGCAAAAGTGTTAGAGGGCTGAGACAAACCATTTAACACTGGCAGGGGTGCATACAATGGTCAGCTGGAGTTGAGATTTAATGTTAGTCAAGTCCATCTAAATGGTTGCGTACATTATAGGAACAAATCTATCATTACAAACATGTTCCAGCATGCAGTATACTTCTTGTTAGTACTGAAGAACTATCTCATATGCTGTATGTCCCAGTAGTTAACTGCCCTCCCAAGGGCACCACTCTCATGCTGCTCGACATACTCAGGCAATACTCATTTTCATCATGTCTGATACTGCAGAGAAAACACAACAGATGCCTTTAAGGCCTGGTTCACATCTAGGCATTTTTGAGCAGTTGGAAAAGCACTTTTAAATGCCCAACATAAGAAATGTCATGATTTTCAATGGCCCCTGTTCACACATGAGCAGCAAAAACGCCAGCAGGAAACTGCCAAAGGCCCGAAAGAGTACATGAGCTTCTTTGGGCAGTTAACAGCACGTTTTTGCCCCATAGTCTTCAATGGAAACTCTAGAAAACATGCGGCAGAAGCACGCGCTCGTCCATTGCCCGCAATGTTTCATTGCTAGTCAAAATGCCTGTCTTCATGTACGCGCGTACAAATGCGCATCAAAATGTACACACCGCAGATAAACGTGCAAATAAGCCCACGCTGAACACGCGCGTACAAATGCACAAACTGTTCATACGGCAGAGACTGAATCTTCAGGTACGTAGCACTTGTAACATGATAATAACACACACAATGAGGATCAGTTATGAGACATGGAGGCAAAGGAAAAGGGTTAGAGTTGTTGTCTTTAACAACCAGATTCTTAAGACTGTTCACAGACAGAATGGGCTAAAACCTGAGTGGCAGCTGTGGGCTACAGATTAATGAACTGCTATAAATGCAAATGTCTCCATATCTATAAAGTGGTAGTGCCACTTTCTGCACCAGCCATGTCACAGTGCAGGGAAATAGGATGGGCCTTGTGTGCCAGTGCAACTCCAGCACATAAAAGTAGATGTAAACTCGATCTGAATGATATTTAGTTTGATAAAGCACTGTGTGACAAAAAGTTACATGTTTAAATGAATACTGTTTTCATCTCCATGATTTTTGTTTGCATCTCAATGCTGCAGCCTCTTCCTTTCTACATACATACACTCAAGCAATGGCTGAATGGCACTTCTCAGGGCAGGTTTCCTAATGGTGACAAGCTGTGTATTTTGTGTTAAAATAACTACTTCTAGGCTCCTTCAGAGACCCATGTTAAAGGGTGACAAAGCAAGAACACAGGGGCAGAGTGTTGTCACCCTACAACAGAAAGTGCCTGAACAAGGAATCATCAGGTATTATTGCAGTGAAAGATGCAAATTTAAAGATGTAACTGTGACTTTTGAAATAACATGAACATGTTAAAGCTTATATGAGATTTCAGTGATTGGGTTTCCATACACTTTAGTAAAATGTCACCAGTCATTTCATTTGATTACAGGAGTAACTACAGTAGTCAGGGCTGGCATAGTGGAGCTGTGCAGTGATGACTGAATATGTACTGTAGATGACGATGTAGATCATTCACGTGTCTGCAAAAGCCCGGACCACTGGAATCCTGAATCAGAAGACCTAGAACTCTCTTTCTCAAGGCCAAATGTGTATGTATGCAATAAAGCTGAACATTCTAATAAACCTAGTAAAGGAGATTTACAACTTGGCAAGTTAATGAAAAGGTACCTGGAACATTTTCAGCCATTCTTGCAGGCCTGTGGGGGGTTGTACTGATGTAATTCTACGTCTCTGCTGACCTTGTCCATTTGCTGCCCGTAGGTCACCAAATGTTGTAGGCGTTGCTGAACATGGCACAAGACCTGTAGTACTACAGACACAAAGCAAAACAAGAATTATTAAAAACTGAACGCTTATAGCGAGACAACAGTGCAGAAACCAGTAGAAAAGCACCCCACTAATATGGGCAGAAATGTGTGTAGTTTTCACAGTTAATCTCCTGTCTGATGTGGGGATATTAGCACCTTTATGCTGGCTGAGGTGGTCACTGCTTTTCGACCTATCTTGACATGACACGATACACGTTCATCTCAGAATCCCCTTTGGTTCATGGCTTCAAAAACAATTCATTTCTGTGACAATAACTAAGGAGATCTGACTGACAGGGGGTCAAAGCGGGAAATATTCTGCCAGTCCGTGAAAGCCCATAAGCAGATGGGCCACTAGCCTCTTGTAGAATTGTTTTTTTTTTTAAGGAAACCACTTAAAATATATTTACTACATTTACAGAGAACATATAATCCATTCACATCAGACCCAGCCCCCAAAAAAGCCTACTGCCAAACATTCCTACACAAATTGGGTAGAAAGTACCTTCCAGTATATTTTTGGGTTGTGAAAGGGAATCCATATGAAGATAGGCATAAGCTATGGTCAGTTTGAGTGGAAGCCAAATAACCCATCAGCAAAATGTTGTGATGTGGGCAGAAACCACATGAAGATGGGTAAAGGTCCTTGCTACTTTAGATGTAAGACAACCAATTATCACTATGGTTTTGGATTGTGGGAGGAAAACAGAGCACTAGAAGGAAATCACAAACAGCTGACATACAACAACCACCATGATCATGCCCTTTAACTGTAAACATTATTAAACAGTACATTTGGCCACAGTTTAAATGATAGGAGCATGATTTAAGTAGCTTCCTATATTCTGAGGGAACTAAAGACTAAGGCCAGGTTCACACCACTTTCCGGACCAGACCTGGTTGCACTTTGCTGCATTTTTGTTGCGTTTTTTTAAGCTTCAAAATGGGCTTTCAGGTGCAGTCCTGATGCGTTACAATGCATTCCAGACCAGAGAAAATGAGACTAGCAGCACTTAGTCTGGTCCGGAACAGACTGCACTGGTGTGAACAGAGCCCAGCAATACCATAGAGATACATTGGGGTGCTTTTTTTGGTCCTGGAACAAACTGTTCTGGTCTGGACATGATTCGGACATGGTGTGAACAAGCCCGAAGGCTTTCCCTGCAAATGTCCTCCTTACAGCATGAACTTTATTTAATTATACACACACTTTATTTGAAGACCAAAAAAAAATTGTCTTGATAGAAGCAGTTTAAATTGTCACTCAAGCTCAGTGTACTGGGCGAGAATGTCATGCTTCTCAAGCATGTAATCAATTTCCCAGCCATGTACATTCATAGCGAACATTCCCAATGGGCATGTACTCTACCCCCTCACTAATTCACCACTTTGCCCTATGTTATCCCTGCATATTGTCAGATATACTGCAAAATGGGGAAGGGTTAAAAAGTAAAGCCAATTCAACTGATGACTGGCATTTTGTCTATTGCTTTCAAGTTTATTTCTACAATCCATGTCATCATAGATTTCACACACAGCTGATGCGCAACATTAGATTCATATGTAAACATACAAAGTGTTTTTGCAAAAACTGGGTGCAGCAAGGAGGAGACGGTGCCTTGTTTTATTGTATGAAGACATTTCACCAACAATCTCCCTCCATATCTTGATGGCAATGCACACGTCACCTTTTAATTCTGCAGGAGATTAGCACCATTGGAATCCATTAAGAGTAGGCAATCCCAACTGATTTCCCACTGCATTAATATGTTTGCATTTGGGTACCTTTTAGAAGAGAGGCACACTCTGGGGTTAACAAGGATTTCTATAAGACGTCTGGTTTCAACCTCAATGTGAAAGCTTTAATGAATTATGCTAAACTGATCACTCCTCTGGGGTATCAGCTGGCAACAGTCTTGCAAGACGTAAACAAGGCTTCAAGCTGTAGATGACGTAGCATTTGATTTAAAACCAAATATTAAAAAAAAAGCAGCATGTACAGCAATGTTGCCATTTAGGAAAATAGCTCAGGGCAACACAAAGCATTTTAGTAAAAGAATTAGGGAATTGTAAACACTGAAACGGCAGGGGCCACTTGCACTACTACACCAGCACCTTGTGGGTTAAATGAAATCATCTGACTGTGTTAGGGCTTGCCTCGGCAGGGAACTATAAGGTCATGCAAATTTCAGAGTGAAGTGATTAAGTGTGACTGCAGAGGACAACTGTGCGAAGTGGCAGTGACAGTGGGAAGCGGGCAGAGGGGGGGGAAAAAAGCATCAAAGGATAGCTGAGTCTTCTTTCCGCTGTGTTAGGTGCAGCAATGGACTCAAATGCAAATAAGCACCTTGAGATTTTTGAAGTCACATGGAATCTATTGTTGAGGCACTGCATAAACAGCATGCCGAGCAAATCACAAACACGGACAAGTGAACAAGAACCTCTCAAATATGAAGTTACTACAAGATGAAAGCACCTGCAGGATGTATCTATACCAGCCCTTATTTACTAACTTGACTGTCACCGGTCAAATCTCTGCATGCAGCATGATGTTCTAAATTAAATCCACCCACTGCAGGCAATTTCCAATTAATGTAATCACTAGCTAAACGTCTCGTGGATCAGCGGAAAGGTTTTACTAGCAGTTGCATTTTCTGCACCGTTAAAATGGAAACCATGGAGGAAAAGTAGTGTCATTCTAATTGCACTTCTTGCTCAGTGCAGCCAGCTAGCATGATAAAAAGTACTGACAGAATTCATAACAATAAAGACATCATTAGCAGTACTTTCATATTAGACAATGACTTCTAAAAGCAACGGTAGACTTTTTTTTTTCTTTCACTTAAATCTTGTAAACTTGATTTTTTTTTTCCTACAGAGCCACCAATTAATCTGCTGTTATTCACAACTAGACTCTACCCTCTGGAGTAGTAATGAAAGCAAAGCTGTGTTCAAATTAGAGAAGAAGCTCAGCAGCTGGTGAGACAGGATGTACACTCCAGTCATGACCAAAGCAGCTATTATTGAATTTAATTACCTTGTGTACTCTGAGCCTTTGCAGGGTTTCTTTCCCAAAGAGAAAGAACGGACCTCGGATCCATGGTCCAACTTTCTCTTCATCTGAAAAGAAAAAGAAAATGCATAAAACAGTGCTGCCTAACAACCTTGAAAGAATGGTAAATGTACTGGGCACAAGCTGAGAGGTTATTCAAATATAAAATTGCATTTTAATATTGCAAAAGAAATAAACAATTAATTCCATGTGTCATTGTATCAGCAATATATTAATATATTTTATTAATCACAAATACACACTCTAAAAACATGGAAATCTCATCACAAGGAAGGATTACAATATAAGGCTCCACTCTAATACTTTTTATTTTGCAGAACATTGTATACAACAGATGGCCATGTATCACAATATAGATACAACAAAACTACAAAGTATAATATGCAGGTGCTCACTCAGATAGAACATTTCCTCCTATATGCAATGTACTGGCTAGTTAAGACAGTCCCACTACTGTACTGTAGCTGTAATAACCAGACTCGGGATAACTGTTGAATTTTTTTTTTAAATCTTAGTAGCCATAATAGGGTTCATACATTTAAAAACACAATGCTAATTTCCACTTTAAATAAATATTCCTATGTGTGGTGCTGGTTTAGGGATCTGCAGAGATGTCAAAGTTTAAGAACTCATTTTTAAAGCAATTTTGGATTAGTATATGACGTTCTGAATTAAATACAAATAAATAGATTGGCCTTGGTTTCTATGGATGTGACCTGCCACACTGAGGGAACACTGACTGCTGAGAGGACTCATGTTTTACTATGCTTTGCCACCATGAGGTCCTTCTTCCAGACATGAAAGTCTTGTTTTACAATTATGGAGCCTCATCACTCATTTTACATCAACAAGTGTCAGAGATTAGCTGCTAACTTCTTGAACATGTACCACCACTGGGATCAGACGTGGTCCCACCAGAGAGGTCTGCAATAGTAATTAACGCTACAAGTCATTAAAACGAGGATGTGCTCAGGACAACCCCAGGGACCCCAGATGATATAGCAGGTTTCCCACATGATATTGCAATTTGTTTTCTAGAAGACCATCTGCTTCATAGGTTACATGCATTGAGGGTTAATAAAGCTTTAGTGGCAAAAGATTCCAACAATCAAGTGCTAAATCTTTTTATAACACGGGACTTTCTAACCTGCATGACGATATTATAAAATAAACAAACTGATGGCACATAAAGAAGTTATTGTACTGCAGTATATTTTACCAATGAAATCAAGTGAGCGACATTCAAATATGTGCTTTGCATTTTATTCCACTGAAAAAAGATGGAACAGTCCTGTAAAGTTACCAAATAGAATCCAGACTCAGAAAACTGACCAAAATTAACATTCAGCACCATGCTCTCCTGATGGTTAACCTGGTCAGAAAGGGGTAACTAAAACTTCAGACCCCCATCTCCATCTCCAAGCCATATGCCAGCCTGGTGCCAAAGAAAGGCACTGCCCATGCAGAGAAAAACAGACCCTTCAGCATCCTAGGGTCATCATGCACACACAAAAGACCAGATATCATCCTTCTTTACTAAAAACAGCTTCCTAAAAACATCAGATGTACTTCTGTACCAACTTGCCATTCTCCATCACCTCATTCTAGTCATCACCAGTACAAAGCTTGACAGATGCGGCCAATGCGTTATTTTAACCTTGCCAGGAATCTTACCAGACTTGTGGGCAAATAGCTGGAGAAACGCTCCCATCCTGGAAGTTTACAATACTGCAAAGCTGCAGAGGGCATGGTTTTTATTAAGGCACGCTTTCCCCAATTGTGATCATGTATTCAGATCCTGGCGATCATGAGTCCTTGGCACGCAGGATCCCTCCACACCCCGGCGACAAATCGGACAAGTGGGATGCAGATGAAGGTGACCAGACGATAGCACAGAAGAGACGAGCTGGATTTGGAAGCTCATGCCAATGGATGTGTTCTGATCTGCATTGGGAATGCCATCTGCAGAACCAGGAGGGGAGGATGCTGGGTCTGTCTAATCAAACACCATCTCATCACCTTATTCTGCATCCCCTTCATCAGCTCCAATGCAGACTTTCTCCTTTACTAATCGTTAGCAAGAAAGAAAATGAAGAAACGAGAGGCACGGCAGCAATCGGGGAAGGGAGCTGACGGCGAGCTGATCACATCCCGACACGACTTACTTTATAAAAGATCATTTTTAAAGTGCCGTAGAACCCCATGATTCCGGAGTGTGTGTGACTCGGTGTATTCCCCTGATCAGTGGATCGTGGGTGCCCGGGCACTGCGTCTGATGTCTTGTGAAGAGCAGATCCTCTGGACAGGTAGGTATGGCACACAGTCTGATGTGGACATGCTCGGACACGTTCACACAAGGAGATCAGGCGGCTGGCAACTCAAACTCCAGACGGCAACAACAGCAGCAGCAGCCCAGCGCTTCCCAACATACACACAAGGCAGGAGCCCCGCTGAGAGCAACTCCAGAGACTGAACACGGGGGAGGGCAAACCAGCATGGGGACCGGGGGGAGGAGGACCCCGGCCAAACCTCTGATGCGCTGATTTCGTCAAGCAGAACACGGCGGGCATCGGATTACATCTCCCCCCTCCTTGAAGGAGCCGCAATGGTGCAGTCTGGGCTCCGGCTACACAGCCCACACATCAATTATATGGAGATTCAGGGAGCCTGTTAGCGCTGAGTGGAGGGAGGGACGGACGGACGTGGGAGGGCCACACATCTACCTTCCATCTGCCTGGGGCTATTCCACATCACCAACGTGTACACAGCTCCGATCGCTGCCTTTCACAAGGGATAATAACCGGCGTGTCTCCGCTCTGCAGCCTCTTACGTGACTCCCCCCGGGCCATCGCCGACACCACCATACCACCTGACAGGGGGTGATGGATGGCCTCCGGTCAGCACGGACAAGTGCTTTGTGTATGGACGCGGTCCCTTTCACCTTTACAGCCCAATATGTCAATCAGCAGCATGATCTGTCTGCGGCTTATCACACATTTCTAGTCATCCATAGGGACAGGCGCTCCTCCGGGTGTACTGCGCTACTGTATAGGTTGCCGCAACTGTCAATGTCATATAATGTATGGCCAATAGGTAAACTGCTCATTTCCCTTATTGACATCAAGATTAGAGATACATAGATCACGTGTCTTCCAAAATGTAAAGAATCATACAGTAGGCGTACCATGGTGCAGGTAGTCATCACTGACCTCTCCTGAAAATCCTACTCATTCAGCCGTCATGATGATCCTGAGTTTACACTATGACCTTATAATGTACAGATCAGGAGTTCTACCTAGACTTGGACTCCAGGTGCTGCAAACTTCTTCTGGGTCTGCGAGTCCGTCCCACCATCCTCTATACTTATTCCAGGTAAGTCGCTCCGTCCCACCATCCTCCATACTTATTCCAGGCAAGTCGCTCCTTCCCACCATCCTCCATACTTATTACAGGTAATTCGCTCGGCTCCGCCCTGCCCCCCCATCCTCCATACTTATTCCAGGTAAGTCGCTCCGTCCCACTATCCTCCATACTTATTCCAGGTAAGTCGCTCCGTCCCACCATCCTCCATACTTATTCCAGGTAAGTCACTCCGTCCCGCTATCCTCCATACTTATTCCAGGTAAGTCGCTCCGTCCCACCATCCTCCATACTTATTCCAGGTAAGTCGCTCCGTCCCACTATCCTCCATACTTATTCCAGGTAAGTCGCTCCGTCCCACCATCCTCCATACTTATTCCAGGTAAGTCACTCCGTCCCGCCATCCTCCATACTTATTCCAGGTAAGTCGCTCCATCCCACCATCCTCCATACTTATTCCAGGCAAGTCGCTCCGTATCACCATCCTCCATACTTATTCCAGGTTAGTCGCTCCATCCCACCATCCTCTATACTTATTCCAGGTAAGTCGCTCTGTCCCACCATCCTCCATACTTAATCCAGGTAAGTTAGGTAAGTCGCTCTGTCCCACCATCCTCCATACTTATTCCAGGTAAGTCGCTCCGTCCCACCATCCTCCATACTTAATCCAGGTAAGTCACTCCGTCCCACCATCCTCCATACTTATTCCAGGTTAGTCGCTCCGTCCCACCATCCTCCATACTTATACCAGGTAAGACACTATGCCGCAGCATGCTGCATACCTTTTCCAAGTAAGTAATTTGGCCCCACCGTGCCCCAAGTACATCACTCTGCCCCACTATGCAGCATACTCATTCCAGGTAAGTCTATCAGCCCCACCATGCTACACACTTAATCCAGGTAAGTCATTGGGCACCACCATGCTACACACTTGTTCCAGGTAAGTTACTAAAAGTAGACAGACACAACCAAGCAAGTAGCAATTCTAATTCAGCAATGGTAACCTTCAGGTTTCCTTTTAGGAAAATAATGGCATTTAAGAATAAGGAAGCTGCCTTCTACTACCTACCCTACATAGTCAGAGATTACAATGGTGTGAATCATACACACTACCTGTACAATGCCTTCCGTTTCACTGTCAAGGACATCAGCTACACTAAAATGTACTATGTGCGTGGCTTTATAAGTACTTCTGTTTGTATAGCGTGTGAATTGGGTTGTAACAGCAGCTTATACAAACCTCCACATCCAGCTATGTTAATACAGAAGAAATCATTATGGCCAACAAAACAAATATTTTCCTTTTCTATATCTTCAGATTCTATAGCCGTCTCTAGCAGCATCACATGTGACGGATGGAGGTGAACTATGTGTGATAAAAAGCTTTATTCCCTTGTCTCCAGAGAAAGAGTTTCTAACATGTTGCAAAATCAGTGTCTCTGAGGCCCCGTTCACACCAGGGCGTTTTGTCACGCTGAAACACATGCAACATAAAGTCCTATGTATTCCTATGGGGGCCGTTCACACAAACGCACTGAATCGCGCATAAAAATATGCCTGGTGTTTGAAATGGTCCCCGAGCTTCTTTTGTGGCACTTATCAGCCCGTTTTTCTCCATAGACTTCAATGGAAACGCGCCGATCAGCGTGTTTTTGTGTGTTTGACTTGAACTTTGGATAATAGCAACAG